ACAATGGAATTAGAGAAGATGAACTGATAATTACAGAAGAAACAGTGAAGATTGAGACAATTGATTGTTAATTTGCAAATTAACTGTTCATTGTATGGTTATCAAAATTTAGTGAGATAGTCTGTAATTTTTGCTTCAATACATTCGATTGTCCCCACCCGTGTTCTTGTTAACAACAGTATGTATCATTAATTGAAGGTGAAATACCTGGCAGAAGAAGGTTAGGAAGTTCGAAGAAAATAAAACAATAACAGTGAATGATTGTTGTGGAAATGAAGGAACAGTGAAGTCAGAGACAATTGACTTACATTTTGAAAATGAAGTATTTACTAAATGATTCTCAGATATTATTAAGTTGTTCTGTAATTTTATGTTCAAATACACTTGATTGTCCCCACTTCTGTTCTCGTTCACTATACTACCAGGGTAATAATATACTGTCAATTTCGATATTATAACATAAATCTCAATTTATCTAGAAATCTATGCTTACTTTTCTATGACTAAAAAGTATAACATCTTTTCGATAGGTTCGCTTTTTTACATTACTATAATTCACTTGTCTCCATATAACATCAATTATACAAAAAAAACTAAGAGTTTAGGGTAAAAAAATCGGCTAAATATCCATGAAAATGAATCGTGAGATAGTTCATTGTCATAAACTAATAATTCTAATATCACATACCGACTTTATTTCTAAGCCCACTGAAATAAAAAAGCACTGGAAAGTTGTTACGATATAATATGTGACTTTTCAGTAGGGCTCTCCCATGAATACACTAAAGCAGATCAAATCTAGAATATTCGAATTCTAACTCAAGCGCTCGACCACGAGACAGCTAAGTTAGAATCCAATAGTGTAATACCTAACTTCAATCGATTTACGATATTTATGTGATCATCTTCTTCTGCCTGGACTGGATAGCCATCTAATGCACAAGGTGGTTGAACTTCACTGGTCACCGTCTTCCATTATAACTCTTGAAATTCTATTAAAATATTAATCAGTTAACACAAGATGACTATTAGTATGGGTTATTTGTAGTTATTGTGGAATTTTATGGAAAACGTCTAGTCGATCAAGTCAACTGACTGAAATTTGACAAGTACATCATTGATGGTGACTCAGTTGTCTAAAGATCCCAGTCTCACTGACAAATTTGAATGTTCTTGGTTCAATCTTTCTAGGTGAGGTCATCAGTTTGCACTAATGAGGAATTTTATGCTAGGATCTGATCTCATTTAATTGATTCATTCTTCTCATTAATAGATACATCTATAGCAGCCAGAGGTACTCTAATATACAGAAAATCCTTAAACATTTAGTTCAAAAATAATAGTGAAGAACCCTCCTTTTACATCACAAATGCCACACTTTTCATCCATCAACATACATACAAATCAACAAGCGTGACTTATATAAATCACCTTGTACGGAGTGACATGACATTGACTTAGTTAGACCTGTTTTTCATTTATCGTGCTAAATATTTTAGCTTTGTTCCATTTAAACATGGGTTAATTAAATTTGTTTGTTTATTCCCCGAAGAAGTCGCTGACACTCAGTCACGAAACGTCAGGAAATTTGATTTTTCTACTCATAGTCATATAACAAACATATTACTTTTATTAATATTGAATGAGCTCGTGTTTGTACAAAAAGGGAATTTTTAAAATTGTTATCCGTTCACATTTTTATTTCTGTGTACTAGATGACTTTTTTCTTTGATTTCTCTGTAAATATTAGAAAGTGTCTGCTACATCTTTCTGTTCTGATCACTCTTGCTATAAGCTTTCTTTTAACTGATAATGAAAGATTGTCGGGCGATATCGTGGATTGGTTGAAGTTGAACATTAGCACCGCTGGATGCTGATTCAGTGGTCTAGAGATTCAGAGTCCGAGTAAGATCAAAGGCCCTAGGTTCGAGTCCTGCTTACGACAGTATGGACGCGCACCGCTGAGAAGTCTCATACTAGGATGAAAAGAATGTTCAGTGCTTTCAGGCTCTCAATTATGGTCTAACATTGATCGGTTCACGATTTCAATAAAAATTGACAATGTAATCCATCTCATTGTGGTTTTTATGTGACAAAAAAGTTTCAATATTGTTTTTCTTTCAGTGAATATACAAAGTTAGAAGAAGAAACATTTACATGCGTTTATGTACAGAATGACTATAATTAACTTGTAAAGTATGTAAAGTATACATATAATTTATTTCAAAGCCTTCTCCAGAGAGAGGGAAAATTTTCAAGTGACAACCAACCTTTACGAAACCAGTTGAGTAATTACTAGTGATCAGATCACTGATTACATTGAAATAAATTTACCAAGATTCTAGTAGGAATCTGCAATCTATTAAATTGATCAGGTCAGGTAGGGCACAGTTGTTAAATTCTGGCATTGGATTACTGAATAATAATTTAAAATCGATTGGTCAACGAAGCAAGAAATAAAATAATAAACCCATCAATAAATCAATGAAGAAATAAAGACATTTCAGTAAGGAGAGTTTTCTCTTTGATGGTATCATTTTCTTAATCTATGCAATCATGTTTAGAGTTAGTTTTACACGTAATCATCCATAATTAATAGGGGTGTTTTGTGTCTTTCAAATATTTTCAAATATCATATATAATAGGCTATAAAATCAAGAAAATTAATGAATCATCTTTACAAAACAATCAACCCAATAATTTCTTCTTAAATTAAAGGATAATTACTTTCATAGCAAAATATATGCATCTGTTATTAATAACCTTGTAGATCATCAACATTGATGATCTCTGTCGAATGGTTGGGGGCCTACTCAAATTAGACAAGAATGTTGTGATCAACAGATAACGTCGAAATCACACCTTGGGGTCAGCACCTAACATGGACTATACCTTCGTTGTATCAAGGTACAATGGACGCTTTGAAAGCCGTACAACACAATGGACGTTACTTCATATATATATATATATATATATATATATATATATGAAGTAACGTCTATTGTGTTGTATATATATATATATATAAGTTAAAATAGGTACAAGCAAAAGCCTGACCAGTCTATGGCGTACGATTATCTGATGCACGTTGGTTGTCCTTGACTTTGACAAGGATTGACGATCTGTTAGATATTCAGTAATTCAACTGCCGGATGATTTGACTAGGGCTCAGTGAAATTTCACTGACCCTATAATTTTTACATATTTGTGCAATACTTTTGATAATTACATAATTCATTCACTGAAAACATTTTATCGACTTTTGAAAGTAAAATATTTTTTCATCAATATTGCACTTACTTTATTCACATATTTTCTATTTAAATCTTATAATGTAATTGACATAATGCTTGTTTTGAAATGAATATCATAATTGTTTATTGCATACATATGTTTAATATTCAGACGTTATTATTAAAACATATTGTTGTTTAATTTATGATCTTAAAATTCTCTGTAATGATAACCATAATAGAAATGAAATTTGATTCTAACAACTAATAGATCATCATCTTTAGTCACTATACTATGTGAAATGATCATCTATCTTCATGTATACCAAAGTTTATGATTGTTATAAAGTTGTTATTAAAATCAATAAAATGTGGAAGAGTAAACAAGTTTATTGAGTTCCAGTTATTTTATTGATATTTTGAATACAATACAAACATTGGTCAATTTGTTTTCTTATTTTTCATTTACAAATGAAGCCTATGAAACTATTCAAGGTAAATAAGATGCTTAAAGATCATCTATGAAGTTTCATTGAAAGGAACATTAAGGAAAAGAATAAGAGTATAAACATGTCAAATGATTGAAATCAGACTGTGATATAATTTTTAACAAAGCAATGAACATGTGTTCTGTTTCATTTCTCTGTTGAGATTTCATACAATCATGATGCTAAACAATTATTTACTGTATTTAAGGGATATTTCTAAGTCTTAGACTTTTTTCTTATGAGATAACTTTCTAATTTAAACTTTATTGACATAAACTTTCCGCGGTATAGTATTGTTCTGGACCTCCCAATATTACCTTTACAGTTCAATTAGATCGATTAAATTTTAACATTCTTACTAACATAAACGTTTATAAATCACTTAAACTGACGAAAGAAATTCACTCAAGAAATATGAACAAAAGGTGTTGGGTCTTTTCAAAAGAAAACCTTATTTACGTCTAATAGAGAAAAAGATTACAATAAAATGAAGGTAACCATTTAAATGTTTAAATGAATAGAATAAAACTTAATGGTAAATTGCTAGTCCTCAGTTTCAACAGTTTCTCCACAAATGATAAACAATAAATCCTGTCGATACGGAGTTTCATTGATTTTCATTCACAACTATACTTCCATCACCTGTATATGTTTTTCATCTCTTATTATAATGACCTCTGGTTGATGATCTGGAATGTTATTGTCTAGAAAGAAATGACTTACTCATCCATCTTAAATAACAAAACACCTCTGAAATTTTAGTTTGTCACAAGTTTGTTAAGTTTTCAGTGTGTTGTTCTAAAAATAATCACCATTAGAATCTGATATCTGGTGAAAAAATTATCGAAAACCTTTTAAGTACCTCCCTTTTATGATACTTACTTCTGTTTCTCCTACTTTCAACACTAAATCTTTTATCTAACAAATAATGTTGATAGTTTTATTCAGTTTTTGTTTGATCTAAGTAAAGTATTGAATAAATTTTTTCTTGGTGATTAAATAAAGTCATTTTTACTTAACTTAAAATAAGAATGAATAGTTTACTTTAGCTGTTGACATTTTGATACCTACTGAATATCATATACATTTTGACAATTGAATAATTGGGAGTTGTTTGTGGAGATTTTTAGTAATTTTTTTTTATATATAGTTGAAATCATCAGTCAATTGAAGCTAGACCACCATGGAAAACCTGGAAGCATTGGATGGCCGTTTGAATAATTGAAAAATTAATGAAAGACAAATTACAAACAATAACAAATAAAAAACTAATACTTACTTTCGTTGTGGTGAAGTTTTTGTGTTATCCATTAGTTAAATATCAATCTATATATGAATAATTTTTTTATTAAATTACATCAAAGTTTATTATGAATAGTTGATCATGTATGTAATGATGAATTGATTGGAAAAGAGTCAAGTTTTCTATTATATTTCTATGATAGTTCTATTATTATTATTATTATTATTCGTTTGGATAGGAGTTGATCTTCTTCCAAGTTATGACTTATTCATCAATGGAAAAATTATTTGAAAAACAGATTAGATACTTATGTATTTCTGCAAACTAATAAATGGTCAGTACTGTAATAGTCACCTCATTATATGATACTCTATAGGTGAATTATTAATCAATTCAATAAGCAACACCTTAGGAGGTAGAATCTTTCTTTTAATGAAACAAAAAAATCAATATGGGCATTTTATTTCATAACAAAGATTTTCTTTCTCTTTTTTTAAAAATATTTTTCATAGTTTAGATTAGTTCAATTTATAACTATCTATGCATGAATGAAATTTTCCCTCATACATGTATGTCTGTCTATTACCATAAAATGATTATTTTATTTTACCCTTTTTTTACAATACAACAAACATATTGAATTTGTAGTCCTACACAAACAATGTATCCCTTACTGGATGAAAGATAAATATTTGGGGGGAAAAAATTACGTACGCTATTGATTAATTTTATAAATTTGTGTTTACATTGTTGATGTGTTTCGTTTTAACCATTTGTCTGCACCCATATTGTTACTTTCATCTGGTTGGTCAATCTAATAATAAATGATAAAAGTTTTTTTTTCTGGCCATTGATATTAACCTTATTTGGATATGATTCATAAACATTTAGTTAATATGATTGGATACAATCAGAGTTACTTTGGAAATTAACAATAACAGTAGAATCTTTCGAATACGGTTGTTATGGGTAATAAATGTTAAAAAGTTTATTACATCATAATGCATGAATGTAGCATTCGATTTACCTTCTTGTTAAAAGAAATCAAGTTTTTTTCAAGATGAATTCTAATTTGTAAAAACTAAAAGTCAAATCATTATTCAAATCCTGTTGTTGTTTTTTTCTTCATTATATATAGAAATAAAATTATCTTACTATAATGTCATAACGAAATATTATAAAATTCAAATTATGATGACGTAAATTGGCAACTAGATAGGACTGACCAGGATAAGGTTGGATAGAGAGTATTGGTGGGTGGTCTATGCTCTTCAAGGAGGGGTAACAGACGTAAATAAGTAGGTACATTATATTAGAACACGTGTATGTAGCAGTTACATCAAGTTATTCGTAAATTATTTATGAAGAAGATACTAAATTAAATTTTATAATAAAAGCTCAAGGTGGCTTTTTTTTTCTTTAATTAATTAATGGATATTGTGGAAATAGTGAAGAGTTTCCTTGATAATGAATTCAAATTCTTCCATTTTGAAAATACTATCCGTATATAAATGATCAGGCTTAATTAATATAAATTTATTCTCTTTAAGCTAAAGTGTTATAGTCTACAGAAATATACAATGTGCATTAGAGTCAATGACTCAGACAATCAATTAAATGCTTTAAATAACTCTTGGGATTATATGCAGAAACCAAACTAATTTTCTTTGATTCATTCGTTGTAAACGGGAATTTTCGCTATAAACTAAAGTGACTAGATTTGTATTACTTAAAAATAGTGAGTTATTATTAAAGGTAGCTTTGGAGATAATTGAGTGTTACTGATATTACGAACCTACCTAAGCTGGAAAAATACTGTAAACAAGGGAGTACTGGAAACTGGAAAACACTTATTCAGTATCATTGATACACTGAAGTTAGACATTTGGACCATTCCATCCTAATTCATAAAAATAAAAGTTAATCGTCCACCATGAGATCTGAAAGTTATGGGTCAGGCTCCAATGAGGTCGTGGATTCATAATGTTTAGGCGTCCTATACTGAAGTCTATTGCTTTCCGGTTTTCAATGGTTATCCTACTGAGTTTGGTTCTTGATCTCAATGTTACTTGTTAAATTGTCGCCAGAGAAAGTGTATTACTTCAAACAATTTTCTCAGTGGTCTTACATGTGAAAGATTTCACTTCTCGTATATAACTGTCTATTTGCATCAGTAATCAAATGCGTTAAACAACTTATTTCATAATAAAATGATAAATAATTTCAATAGTTGAGATCATGGAGCTAGACCACCACGGAAAACCTGGAAGTACTGGACGGACATTTTGTCCTATTTTGTGACCACTCAGAAGTGCACATCCACGATCCCACCTCGCGGGATTCGAACCCAGGACTTATCAGTCTAGCTTCATTTGACTCATGATATCAACTATTAAAATTGCTATAATATCCACAAGACCCCTTCTGATATTGATAAATGATTGTAAAATGGAGTATTTTTCAAAATTTGATCTGGATATTGAGTATCGTAATTTTAAAAACTTATAAACAGACAATTAAAATACATGTAATAGTAACGTCAGACAAGGTTTTTAACCCGAATAAAAAGAAAATAGAAATGAACTTCATTGTTAATTCAATAATGTTATTTTCCCAATGGACATAAAAACCTCGTGTAAAACTCTTTATTATACCTATTGGATTTAATAACATGTGATTCCTAACGAGGTGAAGTTTATTTACTGTTAATGTGACCGATAAATGTGTCAGACAAATTTTTAATCGTACAAGTATATACATGAACGAATACAGGTATAAATAGACCTTCATTAGTTAAATTTACAACACAATATGATGTACTAATCTAGTCAAAACATAAATGACAGTCTATCGATTCTATCCTACTAGACAATTTCTAAATCTCTTTACTTGTTTTTCTTTAACTAGTCTTTGTTCCCCTAACTGTGAAATATATAACCCCGAAATGGTATACAACAATGTTCATGTGTTATGTTCAGTTCGCGTAGTAAAGAAACAACTATCAATTGTCTATCGAAACATGTTCATAAATACTTAATTAGACAATATATTTATTATTATCACTATTATTATCATTCTGATGAACTCTGTATGGAATGAATAATAAATGAAAAGTACATTTCTGTGAAGTTTATACATATATATATATATATACTTTTTCAGAAGCGGAGAAATTCAGCATGCCGCATATTTTAATAAGTTATTAAAGAGTAATATTTAGTTTGATATATGTATACCGATGAATATAAAACTAAGATTTCTTTCAATTCATTTAGTATTATTTGTTTGAATCTTCCCATTGATGTTTAGGACTGAAACTAGTCAGTATCTTATTGGCATATGTGCATACCGTCCGTATTGCCTCGATATAGTCTTAATTCACATGCATTATAAGCCTTATAAGATTTCTTTCTTTAATATTCTGTACTTATTCAGTCTTTCTTTTTCCACTAGTAACAGTGATTCTTTTAAGTCGTTCATTTATTCGGCAGTCTATTATTAACAATGAAATACTTATTATCACAATTATTTGTAAAAATTTTTTTAGAAAATCTATGACATACTACTGAAAGCCAATAAATATAATTTACGTGAAATTCGGATGACTGCATAATTTGGAAATAGTCAAATGTTATTATTTAATCAGTTCAAAAAATCAATCCAAATTGTAGGCTTGATTAATGGTTCAACATTCAACATATCCTAAAAGATTTGTAAAAATAACTTTATGATATGTAACAGAAGAAATATATATTTTATGATAAGACATATATCTGAATGTAATAATCAGGGTCCTGGTGATTATTCAGAAACATATTTTCCTATTGTACGAATGTTGCACTGTGTTTTCTATCTTTTAAGTGTTGTTATGTTTTGTGAATCGAATAGATTAAGTAAGAATCGATTGTTATCAGTGGAGAATTTGTTCATGGAAATTCTAGAACACAAATCTTTAATTAATGAAAGTAAGGAGAATTCAGCAAAGAAATTTTTCTTTTCGATGAAATCATTTACTTAAGCCGTACATTCACATTTATATTAATATGATACATTTATTTTTATAGAAGGATAGAAAATATTACATCATAAATTGATTTGAGACTTATTATCAAATGAGATTGCGTAATAATCAAGAGGCAACAGAAGAATATAAGGCTGGAAATAATTTACGGGTCTGAATTATGAAAGATAATTGTCCATTTGACAGATATGAAGGAAAAAAAGATAAACTTAAAGGTCATAATAATAAAAACTGTATAATCAAAAAAAAAATTGTTTAAGGGTAACAATAACTGATTACAGCCAAAATTACAAAATACTAATTTGAAAAATCAATAATGATAATAATAATAAAAGATGAAAAATCCAAAACACAATATAAAAGGGATTAAGGCCAAGTAAGGATGAGAAGTTGGAAGTATCACTTTTGCACGCAAAGTTCGGGCTATAGAGTATGGCAGAATCAATTTTTTTTAACGCCATATTACGCCAAAACCACATCCATCCAAATCATCGTTCTTTGAAACGTCTCACCTTGAGTTATGTCGATGAAATCAAGTCTAGAATACCAGACATGAAATTTAATATTTCATTACGAACACATATATCATATTCAACTTAGTATTGTTTGTTTGAGTCTTCCCATCGATTTGTTGGGACTGCAACTGGTCAGTCTCTAATCGGCATATGTGCATACTGTGCGTACTGCCTCGATATACCTTAATTCACAAGCATGGTTAGCAGAGATGGATAGTGGCTAGCAGTGGAATCCAGGACGCGCGTTTCGTCCTATTTGGGACTCGTCAGCTGGATGTACCTGCATCTCAGAGTTGATGTTCACTCTGGGACTCGAACCCAGTACCCTCGCTTCAAACGCCATCACGTTATCCACTTGGCCACTGAGTCCTGATAGCCACTTGCTTGTGCGATGAGGTGAAGTTTAAATTCGACTTAGTATTGTTTGTTTGAATCTTCCCATCGATTTGTTAGGACTGCAACTGGTCTTCACCCCATCGCACAAGCAAGTGGCTATCAGGACTCAGTGGCCGAGTGGATAACGTGATGGCGTTTGAAGCGAGGGTACTGGGTTCGAGTCCCAGAGTGAACATCAACTCTGAGATGCAGGTACATCCAGCTGACGAGTCCCAAATAGGACGAAACGCGCGTCCTGGATTCCACTGCTAGCCACTATCCATCTCTGCTAACATATATCATACGTTTTGTCAGAAGATGAACATTTCAAATTCAAAGATCACACCGGTATTGTAGCCAGAAATCGTGCAGAAGATGTGATCTTGCAATTAATGAAAAGTTTAAAACCAACTGAGACTCATGGTTCTTTCCTGAAATGCCAGAGAAATATGTTTTTAATTACTGCAGTATAACATTATCAAATATTCAGCTACAAGCATTATCTCCCGGTCCTAAATTTTGTAGTACGTCTGCTAACATTAATGAATTGAACGCTACGATCCAGTTTGAAAGACTCATTCGTCAGTCAAAAGACTTTATTCCAGTATCTAATAAAGATTCTGAGTATTTCAAAACAACTCTTTTAGACTGTTGTGATCAATATGTAAACACAATACCTATAAATAACCGATTACTCGCAAAACAGCATAAATCTCAATTATCTGATCTTCGGAAAAACCAGGATTTAGTGTTGTGTTGTCCAAACAAGGGTACAGGAACTGTCCTTATGGATCGTCTTGACTGTGTCACCAAACTAACTTCGATATTATCTGATCTTGTCAAATTCTGGCATTTACTCTCAAAGTACAATTCAGCTTTAATGATTATCACTGTAGACAAACACATGGAGTTTCAATCGGTTATCAATTGAGTCCCCTCTTTGCTCATCCTCTCTATGCTTCTAAATTTCATCTTTTAATGACTTCATACATTCTTATTCGCATATATATATGCGTATAGTTAAGATTGGTAATCCTTATTGTCCCAATGTTTTCTGTCATCAGTGTCTATCACTCCCAGTGATTTTATGATTTGATACTATATCGATCTAAAACAGTGATTAATCACGAGAAGAGAAATATCATGTTTAAGCATTTTTGTGTCTTATGTTGTAAATCTAAATGGTGTTTAGTAATATTTAAACCGCATTTTGTTAAAGTTTTTAACTTTGTCTTAAATGCTATGCTTCTATTCAGTAAGTTTTCTTAGATTTTTTCACATAAATCAGTAAGCTTAGCAAAACTTATGAGCAGGAATCCAAAATAAATATTTTACTTAGTCAACACTTCAGTAATACGATAAATCCCTTTTAGAAATCTGGAGACTGTAATGGGAGTGTGTAGTTGGATTGAAAAAATGGGATTTATGTTAACCATAAATTTTGAAGAATTTGTAAGACCAGAATTTTCAGACTGTATTACACAAATTTTTTTACATTTTTCAGATTAACAATGTTTCCACATTGCAATATGAAAAATTTAATGATGTTTTACCTGTTAACTTCATCATAAAATCTATAACCCAGTGATAACTTATATTGGTTTGCATTTCCCTATGTCTAATAACCTCAAATTAATTTAGTTACTAGAAGTATATTTTTAAATACAGAATCCGTTTATTTAATTATGGAATGATGAACCTTTTTGTTGTGACCAGTCAGTCATTCCTTGACTAAATGATTTATTGATAAGTCCTCTGACTGTACACTTTAGTCGGTTTTCTAAGCTCATGTAATCACCCAAGGTAATTTGAACACGAGAGAAAAAGCTCGAAATATGTAAAAGAAAAAACGCTTTGCTCTAGGGTTATTTTATGTACAGAAAACCGGGGAGCTTTATAGCATTTCAGATGGCCTTGAGCTTCTGAAAAGTTCCTGAACCCTACTAAACATAGTAGCAGGATAGGTAATCGTCCAGTCAGGAATGTAACACGTGACTCTTCACTTTCTAGATGTTTCTTAGATTCTTCTTTCCTATGCTAGTCGGACAAAATATTTCCCAGCGTTTTCAAAGCCTCTTTGGGCATTTTTCAAGAAACCTTTTTGGTCTTCACAGCACCTCCCTCCTATCAAAAAATAAAACTTCTTGCTCAGTTCTGCTTGCAACTTAATGACTGGCTTTTGGCGGCGTTCCTAATTTCTTGGTGCCCTCTAACTACTAACTATCATCCTAATGTTCTCTATTAGGTCCCTGGAAGGTCTTGTCATTGGAGCATCTGTACTTATCTCCGATGGAAGATTCTTCTATCTACTGTGTTCAACATCCTTCTTTCACTATGGATTTGGTTGATATGTCGAATCCACGTTTTGAACGTCCCACGCACTTTGCACAAAACATTTCCCAATCTCTTTTCAATGACTCCAGATTCGTACCAATTTTTTCCAAGGTATGACATGACAACCAGTTTATTATCTACATTAAACCTTCGTATAGTCTGGTTTTGTCTACATCCAAACACTGGATTAGGTGGCAACATGGTGTCGAATATAGTTTGAATATTTCATCCGAACATAACTTCAGTAGTGTACTTTCCATCTAGGACAATAGGGTTGTGTATAGTTCTATAAGCTGTTAGTGAGTTTGTAATTACCTAATTTGTCCTCTCGTCTTCCCTTTCAGCAATGCTCTTTTAAATGTGTCAATAAAGAGTTCAGCCTGTCCATTTGATTGAGGGTAATAGGGTAAATAGCGTATATGTGTAATTCCACTAGTGCTGGAAAAGTTCTTGAATGATTCTGGAGTGAATTGTGAGCTACTTTCGGTCATCAATGGATTCCGTAAGGACCGATCGTACAACGACCAAATCGTAACACCACGGCTCATTTTGAAACAATCAAGTGAATGGAGTTCACCACTCCATAAAAACTTCATTGACTATGAGAAAGCATTTGATAGCGTGAATAGGACAATACTATAGAAGCTTCTTCGACGCTACGATTTTCCTGAGAAGATAGTCAATATCATACGGAATTCTTATGATTGGTTAAACTGCAAAATCGTGCGTGGAGGACAGCTCACAGACTCGTTCGAAACAAAGGTCGGTGTCAGGAAAGGTTGCTTACCCTCACCTTTCCTCTTTCTCCTGGTAATCGACTGGACTATGCAGACGTCAATATGTGGAGGGAAGTATGGGATACAGTGGACAGCTAAGATGCAGCTGGACGATTTAGACTTCGCACATGATCTGGCTCCCCTATCTCACACGAAGCAACAAATTCAGGAGACGACCAGTGTGGCAACAGCCTCAGCAGCAGTAGAGTTCAACATAGACACAAGGACACCCAACTGCATCACAAGGCAAGCCCTCACATAGAAACCTGTAGGCCAAAGGAGAAGAGGAAGACCAGAGAACATATTACGTCGAGAAATGGAGACCGACATGATAATGAAAAAAATTGGATAGAACTAGAATGGAAAACCCAGGACAGAGTGTGTTGGAGAATGCCGGTCGGCAGCCTATGCTCCATTGGTGGTAACAGGCGTAAGTAAGTAACTCGTTCACCAATGTCTCCAATACTCCGAAACAACTAAACCATTCAGATAACTCGCCGATTGTTCCACTTGCTGTGAAATTTGAAATGGTAAAAATTTCTGGTCATTTTCTGAATGCATCCACCATGAAGAAACATTTTCCTTCATAAGTTGTGCGATGTAATGCAGGCTGCCATGTTCCAGGACATAATAGCTATATCAGGAGGACAGTCTACCAAAATAAAAGCGGCAGTATAAGGTTAGAGTACGTTGTCGTATATCCACTACAAGGACTAGTGATGGGGTTCATTTCACGACAAGCAGAAACGTTATTTAACAGGAATACATTGCATCTAGCAAAACCAAGATTTAGATTTTGTTCATAACATGTTCTCTGAAATCGATAATTTAGTAGAACGCTTTCATTGTCTTTCTAGATGACACCATCAAGAGACATTTCTGGGTAAAGCTAGGGTATGAAAATTCCTGTACAGCTGACTAGCTACTTGTTTTATCAATATTTAAACTTTAAAGCTATTCTGAGTAGAAATACCATCCTTTTAATTACCTATGGTTGTCGAGTAACAAATAACTAAAGCCCTTTTTAAATAAACTCAATGATTCAGGATGACTGTTATTTAGATTACATTAAAAAACCGATATGAGCAATTGTACATAGTTCCACAAAATAACGTTAATGTGTCAAAAGTGGGAATTATGAACCCTTGAGGTCATATGCTTCGAATGCCAAGGCCGAAAAAGCCAAACCGACTCCCTTTGGAGTTTATGAATGTACCTTTTTCCAAACCCAAAGGCGAAAATGTATATAAAACATGCTCTGAAGTTTATCCGGAAGTAAAAAGAGCACCTACTAATGACGCCTACTTTTGGGTTAGTCGAATTTCCTGAATATAAAGATTCCTTTTTATTATAGTTTGAACCATGCTTCAATACAGTAAAAGTTGAAAAGAAGCGATCAACAAACAGGAGTGCTTCGAGTGCCCGTCAACATTTACCAGAGTTACAATTTTTACTAAATTGGCCAACTCCGACCAACGTACGTTTACTTTTAGTTTTTGAAATTAATCATCCAATTACTTCGGAAAAAGCTCACTAAAGTAGATACTTGTCAGTATTCTCTGTCGAATGATTCAAGATTAGTAATAGGAGTAGAAGCTTACTAATAGTTGGGTTGTATTAAGAATGAATCGTAACAACTTTCTAGATTCGGATTTGTGTATTAATGACAGCAGAACTAGAGCTTGTGTTAGTCCTTTTCTAGCAAGCTTCTAAGTATCTAGTCCTTTCTTGATCGAGCCGGTTCAAATTGCAGACACCACGCCTTCGGGTATCAGCCCAATCTCCTTGTGTTGACGAAAATTTTAGTCGTTTTGGGGAAGCCGTTGTAGGAAATTTTGGGGAAATAGCGCAAAATCCCAGAGATTTTCCCCAGATTTTGGGAAATTCCCCCAAATCTTGTGGAACCTCTGAGTTATTCTGATCTGGTAATAATAATAATAAAATACATGAGGTTCAGAATCCCCTCTCAACATTCCACACATCAAAATCAGATCACCCCTTAATCTGCTGTAGAACAGTAACGAATTCTAACTTCTCAAGCCTCTGTGTATGGTAAACCCTGCAGTTCTGTAATCGCAAGGGTAGCTGGTTTTTATACTGTTTCCAAAATATTCGAGTCACCTTTTAGCTAGCAGCCTGTACACAGTTTTCAATTCTGGATCTCACTAAGATTGTGTATACTGTAGTGAAAATATTAGTATGCAACTTAGGTAATGTTTGTTTTGAAACCCTTAAGGTTCTGAACCCCTTTGCAACGGCGCGGCAGTGAGCTATGGTTTTTAGATCATCATTAGATCCACTTCAGTTGCGCTTGTTAATACACATTTTAGCATCGTTCACCATAGCATTGGCTTCAAATAGCAAACTCTGCATCCGAGCAGCATTTCCGGCACAATCACACGCATCCATTTTTCCTAAACCGTTTGAAAGTCGCGGGTGCTAGATTCGTGTAAACTCCATTGTTCCATCCTTTGAATTCATCGCACCGCATGCCATTTTTCACGGGGTATCGACAGCTGGGCTTTGACAATGGCTTCTTTGGTACTTTAGAGTCATCAGTCAGAAGTATTCAAATCAACTAGACACAAAAGCACGTGGAGAAAAAAATTGGTAACTAGAAAAAAGTGAATTGTTACGTTCAAAAGTGTAACAAATAAGAAAACCGATGAACTCAATAAAAGTGCCGATGCAAAATTACTTTTGTAAAGAACGATACTATTGGTGTTACTTTTACTGAAGTTGAACCAATTTAAGTGAAAACAGTAGTCTGGATGCGTAATAAACTGTGTTACCCTTGTGAAGTGTCACTAATTGATATGATGGGAAGGAATTAGACCTAACTGTCAGGTCTTGTTTCAGTGGAGAGTGAGTGACCTATGAAACTGATGCCCTCTTTTTGCTTTTGATATCGAATCATGTTTAATTTCCTGTTAGTAGTTCGTGTGTAAGTGTATGTCACTTATACGGTCCCCTGATCAGCTGTCACTGCGTCATACCTGTCGATTTAGATTTTACTTTATTTTCAACAATTCAAATCCCCCTGATAAAAACATTAGACGACTTGCTCAAATCCATGTTTAAAAATAATAACAATGGTATTAATAATAAATTTATTCGTTTTCTGATGAATTCTTAGCAGGTTCACGTAAGAGATCCATTTTTCATAAAATGGTTGTACATAGATCCAACATAGCATTTTGTTTCTTACCTGTTTGTTGAGTTGTGATCAACCAAACAAATGCAACGTAGAACCTGGTATGTATGTACATCGCCATACCCCATTACAACAGCGAAATAAAATTCTGTAGACAAATTCCAGAGTAGTATGCATAGTAACGGTATTAATGGCAATAAACAAAGTTAGACATCAAAGGTACAATTCGAAAAAATGTGATGAATTCAGCTTAGAGTCTGGGAGAAGAAGAAGAAGGAGATAAGGAATGGATTCATCTACCATGTCATTCAAAGTCTAACCACTGGTTACGATAATCACGCAGACCCAAATCAGGTGCTCCAAACCTATTAAAATGGTTCAATTCAGTTGTCAATGGCTTCATGGACTGATGCCATATTTTCATCTGCCAGCCCCCAGCTTTCTTACAGCCTATTCACGCACAAGACAACTGTCATCGAGGTAGGAAGTGGTTGGGCGTACGTATCACATGTCCCAACCACCTTGATTGATAAATATTTACTAATTCATTGATCGATTTGCCTAGTACCCTATTCCTTATCCGAGAATCGCTCACTTGGTGGTCCCGAAATACACGAGAAATTTTTCGAAAACACCTACGAATATCCTCTCTTCTTAATCGACTTATGGTCCTTTGTTTTTTATATTATAACACAAAACTCTCAAATTGCTTCTACATACAATTATAATTTAAAGAAAAATGGACATTATTCATAATGATATCATTCAGATGTTTGTCAACACTAGATTATAAAAAAGGCAATATTTTCAGTTTACTAAGTAAATGTCTCGGTATTGACGAGTATATATATATATACATATATATATATATATATGCATCTGGGGAAGTTTATGTAGACGCATGAACCGGGTTAAAACGAAGCTCAAAGTAATATCAGTATAACTGAAGCCATTGTTTTTTAAATAAGTTTGAATTGATGTTTCCACTGAAATTACAAAATGGTTAATATAAGTTATACGAAATTACTTATACTTTAGCTACCTTGCATATTGTATTTCCTAATCATCTTAATAGATATAATTCACGTATTGTTGTCTTAGACATAAAAGCCGACTAACAACTTCAAAATCCTGGTTGGCGGGCTGAGGTAGATGTTCTATCACTAACTCTCGGTAGGTACAGATTTCTTGATTGGGGTCTTTTAATAGCCTCAGTCAAAGGTTAAATACGTTGAATGGCTTGGCTTAAAATTGGTCCCCAATACTGCATTCGGATTCACTTTCTGTATTCCAAAATATTTCCAGTTGTATTATCATATCCTTTCATTCTTTGATCTGATTTACTCAATCTAAACTATATTTCTAAGTTCAACTTTTCATTTCTGGTATTATTTCCCCTTCTGCTTTTCACTTTGTTCATTTTCTTTCTAAGTTGTCATAAGATGTGACAGCTTGCGCCAATACACATTCGTCTTAGGTTCTACGTCATCAATGATTGACTGTTCTCTTTATCTTACTACGTGGTTGTAAATATTAATAATGTGACAAGTATTCTTGTCGAAGTAAATTTACAGGATCTTTCTGATTTAATTGATTTCTCCCTGTTTAGTCGATATCTCCTCTCACAAAACAGAAATCCTGTCCGTTGTTCCCTTTGAAATCTCCTGAAGTACTTACTCGGAAAGTTGTTGTGTTAGTTGAAGAGACTCCTGAAAGTACTGATCGTATGACGCGAAGATATGCAAAGTGTGAGTTATTTATTGTACGATTTTTATCTGTATCATGTTTAATAAGAAGGGGATATACTCCTCTTCCTCACTTAGACGGTTATGGATTTTAAACTGAAGGAAGTTAACCATTACAACTGATTATGAGTTTACGTATAATTAAGCTTCATTGTATATCGTTCTTAAAGTAATACTCATGTAGTTTTTCTTTTATTAGATAATTCCACGGTTAACGCTTTGTCTGAACAATTATCTGGATGCACCGAAGATATGTTAAAGCTGACAATTAAAAAATGACATTTCATTTCATATATCTTTTTGATTTCGGCATTTGGGTAAATGTATAATCACCTCCTTTCTCACCTCATGTGCCCTTTTTTTAATAAATAAGTCTTTTTTTAAAAATTACGTCGTATTGATTTTGACTTTAAAAACTGTGTACTACTCGAAACAGTTTAATTTCACTAATTACTTTCCTAGATTTGTTCGTGTTGCTTTGTAAGTATCACATTCACTTCCTGTATTGTAGCTGAAGTGACTCAGTTATGTTTCCGACTTTGAAATCAATAGATTCGATTAACTACAGATTGAGTCTTAGGGTTCCCATTTAGTGTGTTTGTATTTGTGCTTTGTGAAATCGGTACACATTCAAAAGTAGCTTTTATTCAGTAATTTCAGTATATCTGTGGTTACCATTGAGAATCACGGAGTCAGTATTTTAGGTTATATTCACTGGTGGATAGGCTTCATAAAGTTATAGAATATGTTAATCAGGTGCTTACTTTGGAAAACAAGCATAAGAGATAGCAAGCTTCGCATTGTTACGCCTTTGATCCGTCTACCCACTAATATACAGAAGAGAATTTGTCTCAATCTCGTTGAAGGCTGTGACGCGATAGACTGTTTTGTACAATATTAAAGCGTGGGTCCGATTGTAACTGAATGGGTTTGATGGTAGAGCAAAAAAAAACTATTCTATCACCTACTAGTTGGTAAGCGAAAGAGAAAACAATTTGGTTGGAACACTATTTCAGTAAATATATAAATAACAAGACAACGCACAAAAAGGATGCAAGTACAATTATGTCCAAGCTACGGCATTAGAGTGGAAAGATGGAGTACAAAGTGTTACGTTTAAATTACAATAATTTTGGAATACAAAAGCTTATGACAGTGAACAGTACAACAAACGAGAGTTTTTGATTTATAGAATAAAACAAGAATGAAACTAAGTGTTAGTAATTTACAGACTTTAAATTAATTGAAATGATGTTCCAAGAAAAAGCCCCCTCTGCTCGTCATCGCTTCTTTATTTCCCTTTTCACATCACGCATACCGGATCGGAGTAATTTCAACATTAGTTAATTACGGAAGTGTTCTTGACTTCTGTTTGGTTTTCAGTTAGCTATCACTCTACTTGACGGATTCAGGGTGTTTCAAATTCAATCCATCCGGCAAATAATGATGCATTTGTCTAACAGACCGCAATTTTTATATAGATAGTTTGAATAGCGAGATAATTCTTATTTGTACTGCAAATCAATTGGAAATAGCTTTCGAATACATATAGTGTATTCAAGATAGTTATTACTACGGGTATATGTAATGTAGTGAAACGATTCTTGAAGAAACGTATAGGCCAACCGTTTTCCCAATGTACAAATATTGTAGTGTAGTGCTTCGTTAATCGATCGTCTCGATAACCGTTATTATATCAATCTGAACGGTGTATAATATCAGGAGACAAAGGGAAGTGGCAACTACATTTTTATTGACAAATAACATAGGCTAGAAGGCAGTAAGCACATGAGCAAATGTTAGCGAGCGGAGAAAAAGTAACATACATGGGAGATCGCTGGTAAGCCAACTCGTTATAAGCAAGCATTAATCAACATTTATAGTCAGACTAAAATGAATGACAGACATGTGATAGGTAGGATAAGAAGTGTGCATACACATACGCTCACATAAAAAAATAGTCAAGGTCAATAAGAGAATAATTAACATGATCAAAATATGACTCATAACGTTATAGGTGAATTGGCTTGTCCGGAAACTAGAATAAGCTATGTAGGTGTAATATAGTACACGACGTTACACTACTCCCCACAATATCACGTATCTATCATACCAATCGAAGACGCTTCTGGGTAATTGTTGGTGAGAGTTAAGTAAAGGATAAATAATATTCAATAACATATTGTGAAATGTAGGAACGTGGGAAAAAATAAAAAGACATGGCAATCCATAAGGTTACTATTACTTCTTGCTCTCAACATTTTCATTAACGATGTCCTCTACTGAAGTTAGTTTTTGATATTGAAATTTCGAAATAAATATTTTCAGGAACGGCTAGATCTTGTGTTTCTAGATTTTAATGTTATAAATTATACAAAAACAGTATATTTTGAAATGAGATGTCTACAAAAGAAAAGTTAACTATACTGTCATCCTCATTTTGTGAACTTGAATTATCACAATTTACCTTAATAAATGTATCAGGTAAGAATGGGTACAAGATTAACGAGATTCCAAGCAGATTTTTGATGTTAAAACAAAACATATTTTCCCATTGTTTAGTACTATTACTTTGGAAGTTATGTAATCCTCCCACAGATTATGACCGGGTGATTACGCGAAGCATAAAATCCCGAAGTGAAAATGTTCCTGAAATCTCTACTAAAAGGAATAAACGTCATGAATAACGTATTTTTCAAACAATTCGTGTGGTATTGAATGCGTTAATAACGCTTTAAGTTCGTGATCAACATAGAAGTTTGTTCTTGTAATAGTTGGATCGGCATTAAAATACAAAGGCATACCAAAAATTTAAGAATGACACAGATCTGTATCAAACCATTTATACCAATAGTTAACAAATGAAATCTTATTGCAGCACAAAACGTGAAAGTTGTGTAGTGACCTACTTTTATGACGAGAACGTGATTGGTATAATGGAAACAATTATTATTATAACCAATTGTATCATTGATTGTTTTACCGTACCCGTTTGTTTAAGTGTACAAGACACACACATTCTTCCGTTGACTGTGGCCTTGAACGAACTCGCGTACGTTCAGCAGTTTCGCTTGTAAACTTTGGCATGATCTCGATATTCTTTTGATACCACGAGATCGCCAACAAAGATATCTTATTACAAATGTCAACTGCCTTCTGGTTCTTGGCTTACGCAGAGATCCAACCTAATACCTGGCACGTAATCTTCTTGTAGTGGTAATCATTGTCCATCGCCACTCGACTGCAACTACAGTTGTTTCAAGTAAAGAAGACTTCAAGGAATAAAGCATGTAATATAGTCGAAGCAATGGGAATGAAAAAGCAATTTTTGAAAGTCAAGAAATATGTCAAAACTTGGATGATACATTCAAATGCTTATGAATAGCAATACCTAACATCAGAGAATCAACACAAGTCAAACGTTCCGAATTGTTTTATAATGGCATAAGCTCTTAAATAGTAGTAGGTCAGTCGGTCAACTACAAAGTAGGACCAGGCATATACATGCACCAGTTCAAATTGCTATACCTCATAACCACAACAAAAAGAACACCAAATTCATAGTAGTGTTTAAATCAACATTGGTAATATATAAAAAGAGGAATCCGTGTAATGATATAGTACAAGAAGAAAAAATTAGTTGGTAGAAGGAAAAACACAAAGTAATTTCAATTTCACAGTTCAAGGAAAGATAAAATGTGTATACACCTATGTCATTGTGATCGATTCTGAGCCATGTCAGTGCCATCTCAATCGATGAAGATTCATGACCTCATCAACTGATTTACCATCATTCCCTGATACCCTGTGTCTAACCTCACTATCACTTACCCGGTGATCCCAGCAAATGCGAGCAATATTTCTAAGGCATTTGTGGCCAAATACTAGTACCTTACGAGTATTTTCTACTCTTAATGGCCATGTTTCACAACCGTAAAGTAGAACAGAGCGAACTGCTGTGCAGTATACTCGTTCCTTAATTGATAGACGGATATTTCGTCTTCGTCATAGGTGACGTAAGTTGGCAAAAGCCAAACGAGTTTTTTGAATTCGTTCTGAGATTTCGTCAGACACCAACTCATAAGGGCTGATCGGACTTCCAAGAAAAGTGAAGTTGTCGACGCGTTCGACTACTTCACTCCCTATCCTTAGTTCAGATGTTGACGCAGGCCAGTCCTAAAGTAATAATTTGCTTTTAGAGGGAGAGAAGCGCATTTCAAACATCTTGGGATTGTTTCTAAGTGTTCCATAAGACACTGAATTTTACCAATGTCTTCACCGAACATAACTATATCATTTGCGTGTTCTGAGTCAATAAGTGGTAAGAGATCAATTCCTGAAAATGTAGTCGATGAGAGAAGTATGTCTATGATCAAAGTGAACACAATTGAAGATAGTGGACAGCATTACCGGACACCACTTGGATTTACAAAACTAGATAAAGGTTAGCAATAAGCTCTGACTCGGCTGGTGGTGTTCGAGTGAAGAGCCTTCACAAGGTTTGTGTATATCTGAGGTACACCTTTCAATGGCAGACACTGCCACAGAACCTCTCGGTTCACAGAGTCAAATGCTGCTTTCAAGTCAAGAAAGGCTATCCTTGTTGGACGTCCATAAGCATACCTGTATTTCAAACTCTGACGAATAATAAATATGTGATCGATACAACCACGACCAGATCTGAAGCCAGCCTGATTTTCTCATGTTTTCAGTTCGCACTTCTTTGTTAGTCGCCTGATAATTATTAGGGCTAGTATTTTAGATACTATGTTAATTAAGCTGATCTCTCTATGGTTATCACAGGATCATTTTGATCCTTTCTTATATATTGGGATAACCAGTGATTGCGACTGAGAGCAAATAAGAATATCATCTTTTTCCGAGATTGTCTCGCTTACACTTGACCTCTTAATTCCAGTTTCCTTTATTAGTCTGAAGAATTGTCTGGTGTTGCCTGCAGCCACTGACTTTTCCATCTCCTGCTTTCTTTGCCCAACAAGTGCTCACGATCGTTCCTTAGACTTTTGGTTAACCTAGATCTGATTTGCTTGCGCTGCTCATTGTGTTCAGAGTTTAATAGGATGCGTTTCCATCAGTACTATGAACTGAGTAGAAATCCACTGGTTTTTCGTAACCCTTTGGTTTAAATCGCTAATAGACGTTATTGCTGTTTCCACAGCTGCTTGTATATCTTTTCAAGCAACATCTGAGTTAGTTTCGTTTTCAGAACTGCTCAAGTGTAACTTCAGTTGTTCCTGGAATCCACTTTTGGCCATCTTATCAGTCAGTTCGATTCAAACGGGTCTTCTAGCTTTGGTTTCTCTGCGTCCAGCGAAGCTCAAGCAAAAGCGTGCTCGTATTAAAGCATGATCGGAGTCCAAC